CTTTTATTAAAATACTAAGTATTTATAATAATTATAAAAGGATTTAATAAAAAAATAATTTTATTAATTCTGTAGTATTAACTCAAGAAAATACTTCATTATACTAAGACTCTAGCTAAGTACACAATGAGAGGAAGCTAAGTCCTGCCTCTGTAACCATGTCATTAACATTAAAGTCCCATATCCTTCTCTGGTGTTCAACAAGCTCGTCCTTGCATTTATGAGAATTCCGACCAGTCTTGGGATTTCTCCACTGATAAAGGTCCCCAATGTCACGAGACCCTTGCACAAGCCACTGGGATCTCACGAGACGTACAGTACTGTAGGCCTGGAAGGCAGCCGAAATAGCTTTTATGCTAGTCTGTGCGCCCTCTTCGTTGATGTGGTCCAAGGCTAGATCTAATGTGGTGGCCAGGACGAGGGCGTCTTCTACACCCATACAGGCACCAGCTCCAAGGAACGGTGTAGTGGCGTGGGCAGCGTCTCCGGCAATGCAAACACGACCTTTCGCGTATGTAGAGACAGGATAGTCAGCCGTGTCGAATAGAGCCCATTTTGTAAGCTTTTCCGGCATCGCTTGAACAATACTTTGAATTGATGGGCTCCAATCAGAAAGATGACGGATTAACTCGTTTCTTGTCGCTGGTGCTGTCATCTTTTCGCTTTTCCATTCTTCCGCTTCGTGGACAAATACTGCAATGTTAAAGTAAGTCCACTGAGCTATCTTTGAACCGGTTAGTAAACCCCTTCAAGCAAGCCATCAAAGGCACGATAAGAAATGTCTCACGGGATATGAAACGATAGCCACGCCAGGCCCCATATGCGTGGATTGATTCATTCCTTTGTCGTTACCAAAGGCGGCTACAGCATCTGCAATAGGTACAACAGCTCTATACGCAACCTTATGTGCAAAGTGCGCTTGCGAGGACAAGCTGTTGAGACCCGCCAACAGTTGCCGGGTTCGTGAGCGGACTCCGTCGCACCCAATCACTGGATCACATTAGAAAAGCTGCCTTTGTACGCCAATACACATCGGAATTCTTACCACCATCGACCTCGTAGGTGCTCTGATCGGAAAATGTGACAGTGACTTTGTCGCTGCCGGTGTTGTCTTGCAATTCTTTCAGTTGTTTCCCCAGTTTGATCGTTCTGGCAGGCAGCATGCTGGCCATCTCATGTAACAAATGAGATCTGAGGCATCCTTGGTAATCCAGGTCTCTTGCAGATACTTCGAAAAGGAGAGAGTCGTTGGACTCTGCTTCTTCCTGCGTTGAAGGGTTATAACCATCCCAGTAACGATTATAGGGATGGCGGTTGACCTCTCCGATGCGGTCTAGGGCTTCCAACAAGCGAGGATCTAGGCGCTTCATACACTCACGGGCGACGCCAGTAAATGCAAATCCGGCACTGACCTCAGTAAGCTCAGCAGCTTGCTCAAAGACGGACACGTTGATTCCACGTTTCAAGAGTCCTATCGCTACCATCAAACCTACAATACCGCCTCCTATCACTGCGATTTCGAATGACTTTTCTGTCTTCTTCGAAACAGAGTCATGCTGCTTATTGTCCGAGTTGAAGGTCATGTTGTATGGATAATTGATGTTGGGAAGAACTTTTATCTAGATGTAAGGCTTATTGGGGCGCGTCGTGACTCATGATATGCTAAAAGGAATTGAGAGTAGAGATACAAGTAACCATTTTTGACGCTTTATTGTAGTACCAGCATTCATTAATTCATCAACGATTCATTGTTTCTTGCATGTTAGCTATGTCTTTGGTGGTGCGGAATATCATATCGGAGTTTTATTTATCAGCAACCTCGTATATCATGTCAATACACGCAGTTTGCCAGACGTACCCACAGCATCTCTTAATCCGTATCATATGATTCCCAACCATGAAGAAAACAGTTTTGATTACTGGATGCAGCATTGGAGGCCTCGGAAATGCTTTGGCTTACGAGTTTCTCAAAGTTGGTTATCACGTCATCGCTACTGCCCGAGATACCGAGAAGATTGGCCCTCTCGCAAACAAACCCGACGTCGACATCTTCCAACTGGACGTCACACTGCCTGAATCGATCTCGTGCTGCCTTGCTAAGATACAGGCCATGGAAATCAAACTTGATATCCTCGTCAATAATGCTGGCTGCGCCTCTTTCAACCCCTTAGTGCACGCAGATGTTAATGCTGCCAAAGCTTTATATGACGTAAACGTCTGGGGTTCTCTGCGAGTCACGCAGGCATTTATACCGCTATTAGTAAGCTCTCAAGGAGTGATACTAAACATCGCATCTATGGCTGGAGCAGTGCCTCTAGCATGGCAGGGAAAGTGCCTCCGTCAATTCAACACTCTATAACTAACGCCATTGGATACAGGTATTTATAACAGTTCTAAAGCCGCTATGACCTTTCTTTCTGAGACGCTGAAGATTGAGCTCGAGCCTTTGGGGGTGCGAGTGGTGACAGCTATGGTTGGCGCCATCAATACTGAGATTTATGATGGTTGCGATGTGACACTACCAACTAACTCCTGGTATAAGCCAATTGAGGATATAATCCGAAGGCAGGCAAGAGGAGAAATGCAACTGCCTAACAACGAGGCAGTAGAAGTCACAGCAGCGTCTATTGTCAAAGATACGCTTAGTGGGCGCAGGGGGAAGATCTGGCGTGGTGGTGAAGCAGGGATAGCTAGCGTTGGCTCCTGGCTTTTTCCGACATGGCTTGTTGAATCTATTCTTCATAAGAATAGAGGCTTATCTACGCTTCGGAAAGCTCATAGGCAAATGTAGAACGTTTACTTGGTCTCCGGCAAATCATTACAAAGTATCTCTAAAAAAAAGCGCATCTATCAAGCTTGTCGGGAAAATGTTTCCTTAAACCATAACTTAACTCCGGCAGGATCACTGATCTACCCTTCAATTCTACAGCGTTTTCAATCTTGGAAGTACTAATAACTCCAATACAACCTACGTAGGCAATTCTGACACATATCCGTCTTTCTAATAATTAATATATTAAATTACATTATGGCCTGCATCCACTTGGGAACTACGCGCTTTGGGTTATCGTGGAAATCACTACGGGCACGTCTTCAGCAGCCCAGACGCAAACCAGAAGCAAAAGCAAGTACGGCAAGCAATACGAAGAAGCGCTGGCTATGTCATCTACCGAATCTTCTTACCATCGCGGAGGCCTATCAAGTCACGTCTATTAGGTATGAGAAGCTTATTATAATATTAAAGTACATATTAATTTTAACAAATTAGGGCACCTACTATCTTTATATTTTAGATAGGCCTCTTATTAATTTAAGATATAATAAGTATTTATTATTTATACTTAAATATATAAATTACTTCCTAAATACCGTGATACTAATAACTGTCTCGACTTGCTAAAACTTGGCTGAAAGTACTCGGAGTAGACTTCATAGCCATTGGATCTTGAAACTCCCACTTCCCCTGGAGAGCAACGTTACACCAAGACAGCCATAGGTATTCGCGCCATCCAGCTCTCCCTTTAGCATTCTTCAATGCATTCAGCTCTCTGTGTAGGTCATCGGCACTCCCATCTTTGACAAGCTCCACAGCGACACCGGTGTCTGTTTCATATTCCCGTGCCAGCTCTTCGAGAGTATTCATTCCGGACTGAAACTTAAAGACACCTCCCTTGCCAGCTGCTACGTCAGCATGCTTCAAAAGCTCAATGGTCCACACAGCTGCATCATCCATCGGAGTCCATGGGATCTTCCTCTTGTGCAGATCCCCCCAGTAATGCAGTTTTGCTGACTTGCCATTCGACTCAAAGGGACCCATGCCTGGCAGAAGCAGATAATCAGCGAAGAAGCCTGTTATGATATAGACTGGCTTAATCGGACTCGTGGCTGCAGCATGATCGATGAATGCCAGGACGCTGTTGTATAGTTCAAAATCGCCAAAATTAATTGCCGACCAATTGCTGTTCCAGGTCGGCGCCACAAACGTTTTAACGCCCGCTCTTTCAGCAGCCCGAAGAAGCAAGAGACATCCATCGAGGTTCAAAACGGGATCGGCTTGGTAGGCGCAAATGACTGCATCCACACCATTAACAGCTCGATCTAGAGCGGCTATATCGTAGTAGTTGTCGCTTTGGATAAAAGACTCTAGTTGCTCGGTCGTTGTGGTATTGAGCTTTGCTGGGCTTCGTCCTAATCCTCGAACCTCCATTCCGTCGGTAAGGGCGGCCTGAGCCAAACGTTGGCCGAGTTGACCTGTAATTCCAACAATTAATAGTAAGGACATCTTGATCTGTGAGTAGAGGTATAGTTTAGTTGAAAATTTATAAAAAAGACTATAATATTAAACAATCTAGTATCGTAGATTTAAATAGAGATTTAATTTAATAGTAAGGAGTTAAATTATTAATAAACTATATAAAGAATATAAATTTTAAATTAATTATACTTATATT